GTAGCCTATAGAACTAGACTGAAAGACCATTTAAAGGCTTTTGCAGGTGGTTTGAGTTAATTAGCTGATTAGAGTGTGGCACCAGGGGCCATCAATTTTGAACCTTTTCACAATATTCTAATTTTCTGATATGATGAATTTGAGATTTTCATTTGTTGTCATTTGTAATCATCAAAATTAAACAAAATAAACATCTGAAATATATGAGTTTGTATGTAATGTATGAATATAATATACAAGTTTCACTTTTTAAATGGAATTACTGAAATCAATCTACTTTTTCATGATATTCTAATTTTATGACCAGCACCTGTAGACTTGATGTTTTTATTTTTTTATTTTACCGTTTTCTTTCACTGTAACCTATTTAAATTAACTCTAAGTGGAGACTTTCACTGCTCTTTAAACTTTAAGTTAGAAAACTTTGTCTAGTGCAGAAAAGGACAGAACATCGAACTTTGAGGGTCCAAATGGCAAACTGAATGAATTACCATAGATCATTATTTAACTGGACTGTATAGTTAAATCCTTTTTTTTTTCCTATAACACTGCGCTAGATATTTGTTTGTCAACTATCTTCACTCCTTGCTTTTTAGATGAAATCTTTTTAGGAATTTGTGTAACTGGCCTTATGGAAGAAGCGGTCTCGTCCTTTATTTAGATGAAAATTACGCATTCATCATTTTACCAGTTTCTAAATTTCTCTTAGGAACAAACATTTTATGAATGCTACAGACTTGATGTAGGAGTGTTGTGCAATCACTCAGCTGTTATCAAAACAGTTTTTCACTAAATGACTACATTTGTTGTTACTTAGGATCTTTACAGTTCATCAGATCATTAAGTCAAATTGATTCAAAGTTTTCTAAGGAAAACCAGTTGATGTCATCAACTCATTGACTTGAATGTAATCCCTCACACTAAGCATGCTTGTAGCGACAGTAGAGAGGAAAAACTCCCTTTTAACTGGAAGAAGCTGCTATAGCTACCTATGGTGTTAGCTATAGCAGGATAACTATAGATGCACTTTCAGAATAAAGTACCTAATTGTACCTTTAAGGATACAAAGGCTTCACTGGGGTGTTATCCTCAACAGTGGGTACTTCTATATACCACTATAGAGTGTACCTCATAGGTTTAGAATTGTACCTTTGGTGATAATCTTGTGCTCTTTTGGAAAAGCAAAATATAAATAATAAAGAAAAACAATAATTTAATTTACTTTTATTTTATCAAACCACCACACTTACACATCTGAGGTGATGTACAACATTAAGCTTTATTTTGTATTTTAATATTTCAAGTTTTCTTTTCATCTGAAAAATTCAATGTCACACTGTAACATACAAAATGTCATCAACAGAGTGTGTGTCATTTGGCTGAAAGTCCATTTCATATCCACATTCTCTTTGCAGTAAAGTCCATTCTGCATCCACCTTTACTCTGTATGCATGAAAGTGGCGGTCAAATGATAGGGGAGTCTTCATTTTGCCTCAAAGAATCCACATGGTGTCAATTTTGAGGATGTATTTAATTTGCCAAAATAGTGGCACAGCCTCTGAATGCAGAAAATCTATGATGAAAACATCTCTGATTTTATACATTACGGTGTTGATTGTTAATTGAGAGACATGTTGAAACACTTAATCAAATTCACATTATAAAGATTCTGATTAAGGGCCGAGGCATCCTGCAGTTCACCAGGTAAAGATAAAAATGGAGTTACCACACTCTTTCCATGCACACTTTCAAATTGACCCAAACAAAAAATAAAATAAAATAAAACCTTTATTTATTGGTTGGAAGTTAAATACTGATTTTTTTTTTTTATTGCTTGTTAAATGTAACAAATTGAAAAGTTATAACGTATATATAAATTATGCATTTGCAATATTTGGCATTTACAGACTGTCTCCTTAATGTTTCATGCTTAATAACTTTGGTGAGAAAATGAATTTGATTTAGTTTCTTTGGACAGATAGGTACAGAAATTAGGGCCACTGAAAAAACAGGATTTTTAAATATTAGGTATATTATGAGAAAAAAGTCAGAATTCTGACTTTAATCTCAGAATTCCGACTTTAATCTCTAAATTCTGACAGCTAACAAACATGTTAGCATCAAGCTGTAGCCATATCTGTTTTAGAGACTAAACTAGCTCTCTTGTTTTAATCACCTTTTGCTCCTCCATTAAGGAAATAGCATCACCGGGGAAGCTTGGTGCATGTAAAAAATTAATTCTGTTATTTTGCATCAATGTGTTACTGGCCCTCCCAGACAACTCGCATATTTGTCAGTGAATCTGAGTGCTCCCACATCTCTTCCTTTATGGTGCCCATCTACATTAAGATCCACAATTCTGAGATTAAAGTCAGAATTGTGAGATTAAATTCGGAATTCTGAGATAAAAGTCGCAATTCTGACTTTTTTTCCCATATTAAACTGAAATATATTTAAAAATCAGTTCACTTTTTTTTATTTTTTCAGTGGCCCTAATCCTCTTCCATAGATAGAACAACTGAACTTCCATATATTTACCTGGATGATGCTGAACAAGCAGCTTGCTGCCATACTTCTGGATACACAGGTTCTAAAGTGATTGATATCACTGACTCTTATTGCTTGGACAAGAAATCATTAAATTTCAGTCTCTTCTTGAAAGATCCTTCAAAAAATACTGCGATCATGCTCTCAGTGAGGCCAAAACCAATTGCATCACCATCTACACCATTATCTCAAAGTTTAAAAGAGATAAACACAGTTCTCAGCTGCATTGGAAAAAGTCAGATATTGGTTGGACTAAAAATATTCTGGTCCTTTGTTTATGATATATTTGACAATAAATGCAAGATTTAACTTCATCAAAAGAGCACTTATTCATCCCCCACTAGCACCCTGGAATCAAACTTACTTTTTTCAGACAAAGCAAATAACTTAAAAAAATGTATACTAACTTACCTTGTAAAGAAATGTTTAAACCAATGAATATATTCCATATCCTCAGATTAGTTTAGCTTTTAGAGTATTGCGCCATTTTATTTTAAGTCAAAGTAAAAGGCGCAATACAGCAATTGCCAATCATGCGGCTAACCAGAAGGAGAAAATACTTCATACATTTTACGACTCGAGCCTCTCTAACTATAAGCTTTATCAAAAAGGAAAGTTTGAAGCCTACCCTTAAAAATAGACAGGGTTCCTGCCTCACTGAGTAAAACTGGCTGTTGGTTCCTCAGGAGAGGAGCCTGATAACTAAAACATCTGCCTCCCATTCTACTTTTAGAAATTCTAGAAACCACTAGTAGATCTGGTGTAATATTAGAGGGGCATCTTAACTTCTGGTCTTTAGAGATTAAAAGTCCGAAATAAGTAACGTCTTTTCTAACAGGGGTATTGAAAATGACATTTGCTGGTCAATTTAATTAATCTTTAATTTTAACATAAACCAGAGGGATTTAAAGGAGGAGTATGCAGCTCACCGCTGAATGCTCGCTGCTGATTGGAGGAAGCTGCTTTGAAAAAGTCCGCCTCTGCTGGAAGCTTCTCTGATTGGTTGTCAGCAGCAGTTTGCCGCTCTCTGCAGGGATATAAAGAAGCTCAGGGTTCTTGCTGGAGCATTTTCTAGTAACGTGTCTCTAGAAAGCATCTGTAACAATGAGCGGCCGCGGAAAGACCGGAGGAAAAGCCAGAGCTAAGGCCAAGAGCCGCTCCTCCAGAGCCGGGCTCCAGTTCCCAGTGGGCCGTGTTCACAGGCTGCTGCGCAAAGGCAACTATGGGGGGAGAGTCGGTGCCGGAGCCCCCGTCTACCTGGCTGCTGTGCTGGAGTATCTGACCGCTGAGATCCTGGAGCTGGCTGGAAACGCTGCCCGCGACAACAAGAAGACCCGCATCATCCCCCGTCACCTGCAGCTGGCTGTCCGCAACGACGAGGAGCTTAACAAGCTGCTGGGCGGAGTCACCATCACTCAGGGCGGCGTGCTGCCCAACATCCAGGCGGTGCTGCTGCCCAAGAAGACCGAGAAGGCCGCTAAGGCCAAGTAAAGCCACCAAGCCGCTGCTGCTGCTGGACACAGCCTCACAACGGCTCTTTTAAGAGCCACACACTCCGCTTTAAGAGCTGAAACTCTCCATGCTGCCTTGATCACTACATTACATATTGATTTTTATCTGTCAGAATGTAGTTATATTAAATCATTGATTTAGTGAGCATAATAGGACATCTCCTTCCCTGCGGGTTAGTGTTGATCAACACTCTTTCATCAACTAGCTTTGTAGGTTAGCAGAGCAGGAGAGGAAGAGTGACTAAAGCACAATATTTGAAAATGACTCCATTGTTTTTGGAGTCAAGCATCCAGGCCTTAAGATCTGACTGCTGCAGACCAGTGATTATCAAAGGGGATGCAGGAGGGTCTAAGAAAATTGGAGGGAAAAACTGAAAAGTTCCTCTTTCACATTATAAAACGTATATTTTTGATATCAAAGGTATTCTAAACTGAAATAACTTGGGATTGAGAAATAATTTTAAATGCAACACATTAAATAACTGTTTAACTATGGTTTAATGCATCACTTAAATTAACCAGTTAGTTTGATCAAATAAACAAAGGAGAATAAAAACAATATTGCAGGTCCTGAACCAGATCCAACATGATTCAGCATGATTTTTATTAACCTTAGAAAATATCTGTGAGGCTGTTATGAGGGAGAAACAATTAACATTGTAATAGAAGATAATTATGACTGCTTTACATTATATCAGAGGATCAGATCATCAGCAATATCCCGTTAAAATAGTAAAATATATAGAGCATTATTCTGTCCTGGGTGTTTCCCGCCTTTCTTTCCCTCTATTGTCCCACTGAGCGCAACGTTTGAAAAAGTCACGTGGTTTGTTCTCCAGCTCCACCCAGACTGAGCGGATCATCCAATCACAGCCAAGTGCTGCTGTAGCTCTTTCTCCATGGCTGCTGTATAAGAACAGCTTGTCCTCCCCGGCAGCTCATTCGTTGCTTCAACTCGAGTGGATCAACATGCCTGAACCCGCCAAGTCCGCCCCTAAGAAGGGCTCCAAGAAAGCCGTGACCAAGAGCGCCGCTAAAGGAGGCAAGAAGAGGAAGAGGAGCAGGAAGGAGAGCTACGCCATCTACGTGTACAAGGTGCTGAAGCAGGTCCATCCTGACACCGGCATCTCCTCCAAGGCCATGAGCATCATGAACTCGTTCGTCAACGACATCTTTGAGCGCATCGCCTCCGAGTCCTCCCGCCTGGCTCACTACAACAAGCGCTCCACCATCACCTCCAGGGAGATCCAGACCGCTGTGCGCCTCCTGCTGCCCGGTGAGCTGGCCAAGCACGCTGTGTCTGAGGGCACCAAGGCTGTCACCAAGTACACCAGCTCCAAGTAAAGCTCTCTGCTCCATCACCGCAAACCCAACGGCTCTTTTCAGAGCCACACACCTCATCTAAAGAGCTATGATCAGCCATCAATGCAAACAGTCAATACTGGACAACACTGGCTCATTTCAATCAGCTGCTCTAAGGTGTCCTCCATCCCTATATCATTTTATTTTACTCCTTAACCAGCATTTATACCCACTTGTATTTGATTGCCCTTCTGTCAGCATAGATTGGTTTAAAAACTAGTGATGGTGAGATTAAACCTACATCAATCCCCACAGTTCATGAAGCCTCATGTGAACATGTCACCACCTACTGGTGGAAAGCAGAACTAGTTAGTAATAGAATCTAATTCTTAGCAATTTTTTTGTCCATATAACTTATTTTGAAATTGTTAATGATTGGGTTGTATAGTAAAACCTTGTACGATGTTTGTGTAAATCTTTTGGTCAAACCAACCAATCTAATTTTCAGTGGTTTTAATCTATATGTGTACTAGGGCAAACCGAAACAAATTAGTCACATCAGCCCAAAAGAAAATTATCGCAGACTTTCAAATGTCTGAAGTGGGTCTTGAACCATGAACCCCCAAAATGTTTAACCGAACTAGCTTTAACCAACTAGCTCTGTTGTTTATCCAACCGATCTATTCTTAGAATCTATCCAACTGACAGCATCACTCCTCCAAACTCCTTAGAAACAGGGTGAGGAGATTTCTATTAAAAGTTGCTAAAGCTTATAGCCTACTAATTTAATACATTGTCAGAAGGCAATAAAGATTAGATGACTTGGTTGCTGTTTTGCTAAATGTATACTTATCTGATTCAGCTAAAAACTATTTTACCATCCTAAACTCTTCTTTTCATCCTAAACTAATAATAAAATATTTAAAACAAAATAAAATGATTGTAAACCATTTCAGTTTAACCCACAATATTGTGCATTTATTTAAACCCAACCAAGGCAGAAAAGTGAGGCACGTCTTTCATTATCTTTTAAAAGTCCTTGTTTACCTGTGGGTGAGTTACTCCATAGTAGTACTTCAGTAATAATTTAGATACTGATAGTCAGAGATGGGAAGTAACGAAGTACAAATACTTCGTTACTGTACTCAAGTAGATTTTTCTGATATTTTTAATTTACTTTACTACTTATTTTCATGGCGACTTTTTACTTCTACTCCTTACATTTTTACACAAATATCTGTACTTTCTACTCCTTACATTTTAAAAAATTGGCTCGTTACTTTAGTTTTGAGTCATTTCAATGGAGTTACCGTTAATATTTTTCACGTCATCAATACCAAATTCAATCTAATTGGATGGGAATCTACGTTGCATTTGACGCACCACTACAAGATGAATCGACAGATTCTGCGGTATTCATTGGCGGCAAATCATTGCAGCTTGGTGGCGGTGGCGTTAGCATAGTAGCATGGACGACGAGATGATTGAAAATGAACACAACAGAGATCTAGTCCTATTGGCAGACATCCATTTAAAATGTAGGCAACGGCATGAAAAAAGTGGTTTCTACTTTTACTTTTATACTTTAAGTAAATTTACAAGCCTGTACTTTGTTACTTTTACTTGAGTAAAGAAGTTTAATCAGTACTTCCACTTTTACCAGAGTATTTTTTAACACAAGTATCTGTACTTTTACTCAAGTACGGAAAGTGAGTACTTTTGCCATCTCTGCTGATAGTATCAAATCTTTTTCAACTACAAGTAAAATTTAGTTATTACTGCTGCTGACAACCAATTTACTTATTATATTATAGTATTTCAATATTATTTATATATTGTAAAAAATACTACAGTACAGTATTTTATTTGTTTATTTAATTTATAATTATTTATTTATTTTATTTATTTTTACACACATTTTAAGGTCCACATTTCTGTGACCACTTTTGCTATATTTTTATTTTATTTTAATTTTTTTGCTGCTTTGACACCTCAATTTCCACATTGTGGGACAATAAAGGGATTTTCCATTCTATTCTATTCTAAAAGTACTTAGAAACTAACCTATGGAATAAAAAATGTTTTGTGGCCTAAAGCCACCAAGGTTTTGAACACCCCAAATCAATTCTTACTGGGATGAAAAGGTTAAATAAATGTGGAATAAAACGTAGTTTCAAAGCATTTTAAATGTTTATTGTCTCACCGGCTACATTATAGTGCAGAAGTAGCTTCAACCACAGTCAGCAAAACATTTTCACACCAAGATTAATAATTTAGGAAGCAGAAACCAGAATCACACATAATCTAGATTAAATAAGCAAACTCCTTAGATAACTGTAATACATAGACAACCTTAAAATATTGTTAATTTTAAATAATGTTTTATGGCAGGACTGCTTATGTTTCTTTTGTCTTTCCTCATCTCGAACTCAAGTTAGTCCTATGATAGAATTACACCACAGAAACCTCATCTAGAAGCCTCAGTCAGTCATCACACCAATTAATGTATGCTTAAACTCTAAGTGAAGACTAAATACAATCATGAATCTAAACTAAAGTGGCTGCAGGTCCTTCAGCCGGCAGGTTAACAGCTGGAAATCCTCCACCGGTTGCTTCCTCATGCTTCACCTTCGACTGGTGGCAGACACCTGGTGGAAAGGGTAAAGATTATCTGGAAATGCACACCATGTGTTTTGATATAATTTCAAAATGATTTATTATATAACTTTAAAACCTGAGAATGTTAGATGCAGACATTTCAAGAAACAAAATAATCTTCACAATAAAAAACAAAATCTGTGTTTAAATTCAACTTCATTTTTGTGTGAAAAAAGAAAACATAAGTCTGGATATGATCAGGTAAGAATCATTGATCTCTATTAATTCACTGGATTGTTGTTTGCCCTTTGGTAGTACGGGGTTTAAGTGAAGCCGCCATATTGGTACTCCCTAGTTAGACCGGTTGCAATGTTAACAATACGTGCACTACAGCATCGAAAAACGATGATGATCTCATTTTCAGCCGGACTTAAGACTTTTAAAATATATATAAATTCATCACTTTTACACACACTTGCTGTTACTTAGCATAAGTAGTTTACTTTAACTCATAATAAAAAACATAGGTACATCACATTGCAGTGTCAGTATAAAGTCAATTAAGTCAATAAATCATGCAATATGACATGTTATACAAATCTATCACAATAAAATTAATGTTTTAATGGAGCATATCACAGATATGCTATATAAATATATTCATTACATTGTTACAGCAATTATATCTTAAATGTCTGATAATGCATATATATATATACACTATATTGCCAAAAGTATTTGCTCACCCATCCAAATTATTGGAATCAGGTGTTCCAATCACTTCCATGGCCACAGGTGTATAAATTCAAGCACCTAGGCATGCAGACTGTTTTTACAAACATTTGTGAAAGAATGGGTCGCTCTCAGGAGCTCAGTGAATTCCAGCGTGGAACTGTGATAGGATGCCACCTGTGCAACAAATCCAGTCGTGAAATTTCCTCGCTCCTAAATATTCCACAGTCAACTGTCAGCTGTATTATAAGAAAATGGAAGTGTTTGGGAACGACAGCAACTCAGCCACGAAGTGGTAGGCCACGTAAACTGACGGAGCGGGGTCAGCGGATGCTGACGCGCATAGTGCGAAGAGGTCGCCAACTTTCTGCAGAGTCAATCACTACAGACCTCCAAACTTCATGTGGCCTTCAGATTAGCTCAAGAACAGTGCGCAGAGAGCTTCATGGAATGGGTTTCCATGGTCGAGCAGCTGCATCCAAGCCATACATCACCAAGTGCAATGCAAAGCGTCGGATGCGGTGGTGTAAAGCACGCCGCCACTGGACTCTAGAGCAGTGGAGACGCGTTCTCTGGAGTGACGAATCGCGCTTCTCCATCTGGCAATCTGATGGACGGGTCTGGGTTTGGCGGTTGCCAGGAGAACGGTACTTGTCTGACTGCATTGTGCCAAGTGTAAAGTTTGGTGGAGGGGGGATTATGGTGTGGGGTTGTTTTTCAGGAGCTGGGCTTGGCCCCTTAGTTCCAGTGAAAGGAACTCTGAATGCTTCAGCATACCAAGACATTTTGGACAATTCCATGCTCCCAACTTTGTGGGAACAGTTTGGAGCTGGCCCCTTCCTCTTCCAACATGACTGTGCACCAGTGCACAAAGCAAGGTCCATAAAGACATGGATGACAGAGTCTGGTGTGGATGAACTTGACTGGCCTGCACAGAGTCCTGACCTCAACCCGATAGAACACCTTTGGGATGAATTAGAGCGGAGACTGAGAGCCAGGCCTTCTCGTCCAACATCAGTGTGCGACCTCACAAATGCGCTTCTGGAAGAATGGTCAAAAATTCCCATAAACACACTCCTAAACCTTGTGGACAGCCTTCCCAGAAGAGTTGAAGCTGTTCTAGCTGCAAAGGGTGGACCGACGTCATATTGAACCCTATGGATTAGGAACGGGATGTCACTTAAGCTCATATGTGAGTCAAGGCAGGTGAGCAAATACTTTTGGCAATATAGTGTATATCCGCTGAATAAATAGAGATCAACGGTAAGAATCAGCTGGCTCCTTCTAGTGGCCGCTAAAAGGCCTGCAGGAAGGATCTGCACTTTCCTGTGTTTATATTTATATTTTATTCAATACTCACACATCTGATGTGTTTCATGTGTCATTAAACTTCTAGAGTTAAGCTGAAATGATTAATTTCTCTAAGTTAATAAGTTCTGTTATGATGGTTTGGTTTTAGGTCAGACTTTAGGAAGTTTTGGAATCACAGGAATTCTTACAGTGTCATTTTCCCCTTTTCTGAAACTTTCCCAGACGACTTCCAGCTGACCTTAAAAGAAGTTATGCCTTTACGCTCCAGCTTTGCCTCCAGCTACGAATTAAATATTTAACATTCATTAGAAATCCACACACAATATGAATAAAGCATTTCTTGCTGTTTTTATGGCTAAAATTGTTTGGTTGGTTTATTTCCTTTCTCACCTGCTTTTGGATCTGTTGCTGGATGTGTGGGTCACAAAGATCAAAGGCAGTTTTGATCTTCAGGAAAGACTTCTTCTTGTAATCTGAAAAACATTTCATAGTGATATTTATCTAAACCAGTTCTAGAAATAAAACCAGCCCCTTGAGAATCTTTTGGGTTTTGCAGCAGAAGCCTCATTGGTAAATATTGCTTTTAAAACTAGATTACTATATTTACCCAGTGGAGGTTAGGTAATATAACATCTATGGTTTTACACAAATTGAATCGTAAACAGTATTAGGATTATTTGAGCCGAACTACCATCTCTAATATAAACTCATTACTGAGTAAAATCAAATGTCTTTATTATTTTTGCATAAAGACCTCCCTCTCAGTCTCTACAATATGAACTCACAGTAACACAGAACAGATGCTTTGGTATCACATGACTCTGCTCTCCATGTTCCACCATCAACACGAGCACAGGTGGAGCGGTTCCCCCAGCTGTCAGGTTGACCCTGCTGCCAGTATCTGAACACGTTCTCCCTCCCATCGGACCACTTCCAGGTGTCTCCAAAAAGGCCAATCCAGACCACCTTCCCTCTTGGAACCAAGCTGCAGATCTCCTCGTTCTGAGTCCAGGTTCTCACAGTGACCAGGTCAGTGTGTTTCTCACGGCAGTACCACTGAGCATCATCCCATTGCATTGTTTTCTGCACAAGAATTTTATCACCAGATGCACCACCCCTCCCTGTGGACACAAAAGAAACTGTTTGATCATCACTTTTAGTATCACTGCTTAGTGTGGAGCTGTTTTAACCGTTAAACGCTTTGTAGCGGAAATACAACAGGTATGGCTTTTAATTGAACTGTACCATAAACAAACTATCCAAATGTCTTAAAAAAGTGGTCTCCAACCCTGGTCCTCATGATCTACTGTCCTGCAGGTTTTAGATGCATCCCTTCTCCAACACAGCTGAATCAACTCAATGGCTTTTTACCAAGCCTTTGCCAAACTTGATGGCATGCTGAAAAGGACATTCAGTCATTTGATTCTGTGTTGAAGCAGGGATGCATCTAAATCCTGCAGGACAGTAGATCTTGAGGACCAGGGTTGGAGAATCTTGGTCTAACAGATGACTAGTCAGAAATTACATGATGACAACATTTTTATCCTCTAATTGACAACTTGGGTCAATGATTTAGACCCTGACCATCACATAAGGTGAGAGGTTTCCATTCTATCACAATGCAACAGAGAGTCATACAGGATAAACTACCATGCACACACGCTCATATCTTATACATTTTAATTAACCAAACAGTAATGCTTATGGACAGTGGGGGTAGCTGGAGCTAACCTGACTCCGCCAGATGGATTTGCTCCACATATCCATCTGGAAACCTTCCGTTGAAGTAATTTTGGGAAGGGGCGAAAATACTGGTTAGCTGATTGGCCTATGTTGGTGATAGACGGGCCAAATAAACCAATCAGATCAACTAAGCATATGACGTACTAACAGACCAACAACGAAAACACAACCACAATCCAGGCTACTCTTGCCTAAACCAGTCCGGGGAAGAGCAAAAACATATTTTCCTCTGAGAAAAGCCTCCAGAGCAGTGTTTTTAACCCTTAATTTCCCTCATCCAAATTTCAAGGCAAGAAAACCTCTTCTTTTTGTAACTTTGTATCGTCCACCAGGTCCTTACTCTGAATTTTTAGATGAGTTTTCAGAGTTCCTTTCTGATTTGGTATTAAATACTGACAGGGTCATCATAGTGGGAGATTTTAACATCCATACTGACATTGAAGGCGATAGCTTAAGAGCAGCCTTTAATGCTATCTTAGACACTATTGGCTTTGTTCAAAATGTGAATAGTCCCACGCATTCTCATCTTCATACTTTGGATCTTGTGCTGACATACGGCATAGAATGTGAAGAAATAACAGTATTTCCTCACAACCCTGTCCTCTCTGACCACTTTCTAATAACCTTCAGGATTACTTTAACAGAGTTCTCCTCCCCCAAAAGAAGGTTCAATTTTAGTAGATCTTTATCAGATAGTGCAGTTATACATTTTAAAGAATCTGCTTCACTTTCTCTCTCCTCTGTGTCACTGAGCAGTGCTGCAGAGTGCAAAAGCTTAGCTTATTCCCCTTCACAGGTTGATGATTTTGTTGATGGGGTTGCTAGTTCTCTGCGTATTGCCTTAGACAACGCAGCTCCTTTGAAAATGAAAACCGTTAAAAATAGAAAGCTTGCTCCTTGGCTTAATACAGAGCTGCGTACTTTGAAGCAAAATGCTAGGAAGCTGGAGAGAAAATATCGCTCCGCAGGCCTGCGAGAGTCCTTCCTAGTCTGGAAAAATGGTTTACTGCTGTATAAGAGGACCCTTTGTAAAGCAAGAGCAGCATACTTCTCCTCATTAATAGAGGAGAATAAGAATAATCCTAGATTTCTTTTTAATACAGTTGCCAAACTCACCCAGAGCCATAGCTCTGTTGAACCGTCCATTCCACCTGCTCTTAGCAGCAATGATTTTATGGGATTCTTTATAAATAAGATTGATCTTATTAAAAATAAGATCATAAGCACTCCTCTATCCGCGATTGTACCTGAGGTAGTCATGGAATCTGAACCGGGTTTAGACTGCTTTGATCCAGTTGAACTCTCTGAATTAGCAAAATTATTGTCTTCATCTAAGCCTTCAACTTGTATGTTAGATCCAGTTCCAACCAGGTTATTTAAGGAGGTATTCCCTTTGATCTCCTCCTCCATTTTAGATGTGATTAATCTATCTCTGTTACAGGGATATGTACCTAAAGCTTTTAAGGTTGCTGTAATTAAACCTCTGCTTAAGAAACCATCTCTTGACCCAGATGACTTGGTCAATTATAGACCTATATCCAATCTTCCTTTCTTATCCAAAATTCTTGAGAAAGTAGTTGCCAAACAAGTTTGCGATCACTTCCACCATAATGAACTTTTTGAAGAGTTTCAGTCTGGCTTTAGAGCTCATCATAGCACTGAAACAGCTCTGGTGAAAGTCACTAATGATATTCTCATGGCCTCAGATAATGGACTTGTATCTGTGCTCGTCCTGTTGGATCTTAGTGCTGCATTTGATACAGTTGACCATAATATTCTTTTAGAAAGACTTGAATATTTTGTTGGAATTAAAGGAACAGCACTAGACTGGTTTAAATCTTATCTATCTGATCGAATTCAGTTTGTTCATGTTAATGATAGATCTTCAACACGCTCAAAGGTTACCTGTGGAGTACCACAGGGATCAGTGCTAGGACCAATTCTCTTTACTTTATACATGCTCCCAATTGGTAGAATTATTAGACAGCATGGGATTAATTTCCACTGTTATGCTGATGATACCCAGCTATATCTGTCTATAAATCCAGATGAAGCTAACCCATTACATAGATTACAGGGATGTCTTGAAGACATAAAAACCTGGATGACTCTTAATTTTCTGCTTCTGAATGCAGACAAAACAGAAGTTATAGTCTTTGGACCAGAGTCTCTGAAAAAGAAACTGATTAGCCAGTCACTTCATTTGGATGGGATTAAACTGATTTCAGATAATAAAGTAAAAAATCTTGGTGTTATTTTTGATCAGGACCTGTCATTTAAATCCCATATCAAAGAGGTTTCTAGAATTTCCTTCTTTCATCTGAGGAACATTGCAAAAATTAGAAATATCCTGTCTAGGTTTGATGCTGAGAAACTTGTCCATGCATTTGTTACTTCAAGGCTGGACTATTGTAATTCTTTACTATCAGGAAGTCCACAAACTGTAGTTAAAAGCCTTCAGCTGATCCAAAATGCTGCAGCCAGAGTTCTAATGAAAATTAAAAAGAGAGATCATATCTCGCCTATCCTGGCTTCTCTTCATTGGCTTCCTGTTAAATCAAGAATAGAATTTAAAATCCTCCTTCTCACATATAAAGCCTTAAATGGCCAAGCTCCATCTTATATCAGAGATCTGATTGTTCCTTATGTTCCTAACAGAGCACTTCGCTCTCAATCTGCAGGTTTACTAGTGGTTCCTAGAATTTCTAAAAGTAGAATGGGAGGCAGATCTTTTAGTTATCAGGCTCCTCTCCTGTGGAACCAACTACCAGTTTTAGTCCGTGAGGCAGACACCCTGTCTACTTTTAAGGCTAGGCTTAAAACTGTCCTTTTTGATAAAGCTTATAGTTAGGGTGGCTCAGGTTATCCTAAGCTATCTCTATAGTTATGCTGCTATAGGCTTAGACTTTTGGAGGACATAGGGACCCCCATTTCATCATTCTGCTTCATTCTCTCTCTGTTCTCCTATTCTGCAGAATCTGTTAGTTCAATCTCTAACCTTCTGCTCTCTCTGCTTTTCCTCAGAGTAGCTTTGCCTCGTCTGTTCCTGTTTGGCTGTGACGTCATCCTGGAAAGAAACATCAGCTGTGCTGCTTCTATCAACACCCTTGTTTATAGATGTTGGAGATCGGCCTGTTTTCCAGTGTGGTCCTGTTTCTCTGACCGTGACTGAGTGGATGTGCTCTCTTCGTCCTCTGGCATGGGAGCTGCCTTGGAGCTCGTCTGCCTGGCTGTGTGTTTCCTGGACGGGGCCGTCTTTTACAGCTGCTTTTTGTATCTCTGCTTCTGTCTCCTTGAACCCCAGTCGGCCTCAGCAGATGGCCGCTCACACTGAGCCTGGTTCTGCTGGAGGTTTCTTCCTGTTAAAAGGGAGTTTTTCCTCTCCACTGTCGCTACAAGCATGCTTAGTGTGGGGGATTGTATTTGAGTCAATGAGTCAATGCAATCAACTGGTTTTCCTTAGATAGAAAACTTTGTATCAATTTGACTGTATGATCTGGTTGAACTGTAAAGTGCCTTGAGATGACATGTGTTGTGAATTTGGCGCTATATAAATAAACTGAATTGAAAATTGAATTGAATTGTTTTGCTCTTCTTTCAGTGAATAAATACTCTGTAATTCCAATAAAACTTGCTCGATAGCCATGCTAACGCTAGTTTCATCAGCTGAAGCCGCCATGTTCT